GGACTGTGCTAAAAGCTGCTGTGTTGCTCCAGGACACAATCAGCATAAAGATTCAGAGGCAGAAGTCACTCACTGTGATCAGGCAGAGTGTCCAGAACACCCATGAAGGTGTCCTGTTTCTCACACTGCTGCTGCACTCAGAGTAGGTCGGGTGCCTGTGTAGCCAGAGATGGCTTTGTTCGTAGCCACTGAAGGTCTTCCTGATGCAGAACCAGTGGATCATGTTGGGTATAGATGGATGTCTTACTGTCCCCTTGATCAAGTGAAATGGATACAAATCTGCCTTCAACTGCCATGGTTTCCAAATGCTGTATTTTGCTAAAGGACATGCGGTGTGGGAGTACTACAGTGTTTGCAAGCCCAGCTGTATCTTGGGAGCAGTAACAACCACACCTGCCTTTAGAACTGAGGGGAACCACACACAGTGCTGGAGCAACACAGCTGAGCTCTGCATGGCACCTGCAGCTGTGGGCACTTCAGAAACTTGGTGTCTCAGACTCTTCGGATGCACAAAGCTCTTCCTGCCCCTCTCCTTCAGCAGTACCTCTGCTTTTTGTGCTTAAACAGGGAATTGTCTTCCAGACCCCTCTTTACTGAGGGACTCACCTCAGCTGTTTGCCTCATGTCTATGGATTCTCGATGCAGAGTCCCCCCAGCTGGATCAATACTGCTGTCTGATGTCTGGTGTAGTGCATGCAGGAGCACTGCTTGTCAACAGGCTGACACTGTAGTGCCACATCACAGAACAGAGCTGTCACATCTGGGAGCAGGAGAGCAAATTTGCTGCCTTACCTGGCAGTCTGGTCATGAAGAGATTGATTTTGATTTCCAGGTGGAAGTAATTGCTGTTTTCAATCCCAAGATTTTGATCTGTTGAAGTAAAATTTTGGCTGACTTGCTTTGTTTAGGAAATACTCTCCCAAAGCTGCTGCTTCCCATCTCTTTTGAACACCCAGTCATTCCTGATGCAAAGAAGAGTATCAAGCAACCAACCAACCCCATCACCAGAAGCTGATTTGAAGAATAACTCCAAGAAATTTATCTGACCAAATCAAAAGCAGATTTGCTTAATGAGTGAACAAGTAGGGAAATACAAGAGTCCATTTTTTTTTTTAAATCAAGCCCAAACAAAATAGTAAAGTCAGAAAACAGATGGAACAAAATGGGCCACTTGTTCTTCAGGTTTTTTGATTTGAAGTTGCAAGATTCACAGGAGTGTTTAGTTTTGGAAAAAAACCAGCGTTTTTCACCCCCCCCCCCAAAAAATTAATCAAGAAATGGTTATCCAGCTTTCACAAGAGGTCACTGTGTGAGTAGAATACATTGAAATAAAACTAGAGGAAATAAATTGCAGAGAAAAGCACAAATAAAGGGCAAGGGTATCTTGAGGAAAGAAGCGTAATTCTAGATTGAGTAAAGAGCAAAAGAGGAGAGGTAGTTTCACAGAAAATCTGAGATAGTTCAGTTAACTTAGGATACAAAAACTGCTATATTTGCTATATCTATATATATATTGCTATATATTGAGCCAGCTTGAAAGGCTGTGAGCGACGTTATGCAGCAGCTTGTGTAAATATCCTACAAGAACCAATAATAAGAAGGGGGAAATAAAGTGCAGAGCAGAGATTTGTCTACAATTCAGTATTTCTGTGGGGGGTTTTTTACACAGCTTTAAAGATAATGCAAGGGGAGAAAAAACAGAGTAGATGAGGAGGTGTGACTGTCCATCAGGGGTATATTATATGTTCTCTACAATTTCAGCTCTGAGAGGCAGAAAGGAGGAAATTCAAGTCAGCGTGCTTAATATATCTATTCTAATTCGATTTTATGGAGTGATTTCCAACTACAAATTTCCATTTTAGCTTCTGTGTGAAACGAATCCCTCCGTGGTGCCAGCATAAACACGTATTTTCCCTTTGCCCTCGGTCAGCTGTAGTTTGTGCATTAACAGGAACTTTCTGCTGGAAATCTAGAGAGCCACTCCTCTGGGATTTGGGGCTCCTGGTTGGCCACTGTACCAGGCATTCCTGGTGAGGCAGCAGGTGGGTCTGGACAGCAGCCAAAGTGAACAACCTGTGAACCAGGGACAGCAGGGACAGTGGCATTTCCACAGAAAACATCAGCACCCAAGGAGGGTTTCTCCTGCCACACTTCCAAAATGAAAATTGATATTCATAGCCACATTCTGCCCAAGGAATGGCCTGACCTGAAAAAGGTAATAAGAGTTTAGATATTCGGTGCCTTACGTGATCAGCAACCTTTCTACCCATGTGGTTTTGGAAAGAAAGATGAGGGAAGGGTTCTGTGGGAAATATCTCTAGGGTTTTGTCTAGTTTGATTTTTTTTTTCAGTTGTGAAATATTTGTGTGCATTACTCTGCAAAGCAGGAGTCTCAGTAAGAAAGGGATGTCATGCTGGGCTATGTTCCCCACTTTTTATTTAGTCTGAAGCAATTCTTACCATTTTCCTTGGGGTTTTTGACCTAAAATCATCAAATAATGAGGTGTAAATTCCACTTTCTTGATAGAAACAGAGATGTTCTGTTCCCAAATGGTATTCATGTTTGTTTAAAATGAAATAAATAGGGAAGTATTAGACAAGATTAATGTTAACTAAGACAAAAATCATTCACATCTTATACCCACAGGCATGGAAGTCATTAACTTCAGTAGGATGGGTTCACTCTGAGTACAGTTAATTGATGATGATAATAATTTTTCTAATATCTGTTATTTTTTCAGTTACTGGAAGGAAGTAGCATATCGTTTTAAAGATACAAAATCTCAGTTGTCAGAACACTGAAGCTATAATTCAACTTGTCTTACTTTTGAATCTTTGCACATTATTGTTACTGTTGTTATTATTCAGTGACATAAATTTATTCTTGTCAGTCATATTTTCATGATCCTGTGAAATGTATTTAGGAACAGAAAGTGTCATTTATGTTTTAAAGTAATATATCTGAAAGGGTTTCATATCTGTTAGTTCTTGTGTTTCTGTGATTTTAAACATGACAGTCCAGCATCAGCTGGAAAATCTTAACAGACAGAGAACAGCTGGAAAATCTTAACAGCATATTAGGAAAAAAATTGATGAGAAAACTTGTCATTAAAAACACATGTAGGATTGTTTCTTCATTAGGAGTGAAAAGTAACATCATTATGCATAAAACTACCTGGAAAGGAATGTTTGTTTCCATGTTTATCTAGGCAGGTATTTATAAATATCTATTCGAACCTCCTGTTTGTAATACTAAGAGCTCCTGATGTAAAACACATAGACACTTGATAATGCAGGTGGGAAGACAGACCCTTTTTAGAACAATTATGTCTGTTTTAAACAGACTGCAGGTTAAAAAAACAGACTACAAGACAGATTACTGTTGCTTGTTTCAGATTGTGCTGTCTTTGTGCAATAACCTTATAAAAACACCTATAAAATGCCTTTATTCTGATTTTATATGATTTTTAAAAGATTTTATATATATATATATATAGTTTTTTGTCTGTATGTACTTTAAAAGGGCAATAAATTCACTGGGATAAAATGACCCCAGGAGTCCTCTGATGTTCAGAGATGCACATCAAGACTGAATTCACTCACGTTGGACACTGTAGGTCAGCGCTGCATTTCTTAAAACACAGATAAAGAAGCAAATGCCAAATTTTTAAAAGTTCACTTCCACCTGCTGGTTTTTGTTCCTCTGTTCTGAGCAACTCAGTGGTTTTTAAACGGGCCCAGAGTAGAAAACAACTCCCAGAATTCCCTGGAGCCCTCCGAAAATTCAAGCCATTAACACAGATCTCCACATCTCATGCATGGAAAACCAAGGAGGAATCCTGATATGCTCACATTTACTTACTGCTAAACTTCTCTTCCTGGCTTCCAGCTTTATAAATACTGAACCTTCAGCCTAGAAAATTCCATTGTCAAGATACATATTGAGCAGCTTAGGAACCCAATATAAGTACAAAAATTCATATAAAAAATGAAACAAGGACTGTCAATGCATCCAGCTAGTAACTGAGGGGAAGAAAGAAGAAAATAAGTTCAAAAACAGAGCAGTGAGTTTCTTTATTGCCTTTGTGCTCCTTCAGCACCTTTAAGATATTTGTTTTCTGCACAGCTTATAACTGGAATTAGCACAGAGCTAGTTTAAGTTGCCACTCATTAAATTTTCCCCAAAGTTCAATATTTTTATATATAACCCTATAAATTTATCACAGGAAATTCAGGGTTGTATCCATACTGTTTACATCTCAGTGAAAGAAATACCTGCTTTTACTTACTTTCCTTTTAAATGTTTCTTTATGGAAAAAAATAGGAACTCTGAGCATTGTTTCCTGTCTGATATTTGAAAATGTAATTTCTCTCTCATCTACTAATTCATGAAAGTAGAAGGAAATCAGCTTCTTATGTAGGTTTTGCTATTTTGCTATTTTGCATGACCAATTTCGAATCTCTCTGGAAGAATCAATGAGCATCTAAGCTTCTCCTCTTTAGCTGCTCTTGGCTGTTTAAATATTAATAGGCAAGAGGCTGACCTTCAGTCCTGCTGCTGAATCATGCAAGCTGAAAAGTGGAATCAATGCATCTCGGTGCTAATGATTAACTGATCACAGATTGCAAAGTTGTCAGCTCAGTTCTCACACTGCCAAATACTTCATTTAAATTTTTTCCGCGTTAAAATCATTCCAGTTGGAACCTCGATATAGTAAGCAACGTTGAGCATTTTGGAATCAGTTGTTTAAAGATGTTGTTGAACTGAGAGCTAAAATTGCACATACAAACAACATTAGTCTGGTCCAGTTCAACTTCAGCACTTCTGCTCAGGTCAGTGGGGCTACTCAGGCTCCAAGCTGAGCCCATGTGTAGGTGTTTCTCCTGAATGAGATACTGCTGGATTGTAAGGACTGCAAATAACAATAACAGTACTAGTAGTAATAATTACTGTGGTCATTGCAGAGTGCTAACTAGCAGTCTTCTTCTCTCTTCCACAGAGATATGGATATGGTGGATGGGTGCAGCTGGATCATCACTGCAAGGTTTGGGCTGTTTGGTGCTCTGAGCTAATCTCGTTTTGTCCTCAAGAATACAAACCCACAAATCTATGAAGAAGTGACATGGCAATAAGATTGGCTCTGTTTGTGATACACATTCTCTAGAGCTCTGTATTCTATGAAGTAGTATCAGTGCAAGTCCCAATATACCTCAGTAGAACCTTTTCCTTGAGAAATGAAACTCACAATCTGTGGCCGCCTTCTGCAATTCCTCTCTCCATCCAAGGATCCTATACTGAAAACTAGAGGGATAAGGGATAGAAAGATTGGCTGCTTTGCATTTTCAGGGTGACAGTGCCTCTCCCTATTAGAGTAACCTTGTAAAGAAAAGAGTACCCAATCCTCTTCCTTCCTTCTTCTTGTGGTTTGGCCAATTCATTCATTCTCTACAGAGACTCAGCTTTAGGGAAGCAAGACTTGCATCTTCCAGGTACCAAAGTATTTAAGTATATAATGCCTGTTACTTTCAGTGGAGCTAGATATTCCCTCATCCTCTTGTCCCTTTGCAAAATCATACAATTGTGATTCTATATAAGCTTGCATTAGCTGGGGGAAAGAGAGAAAGAGAGAGAGAAAGAGAGAAAGAAAGAGAAAGGGAGAGAGAAAGAGAGAAAGAGAGAAAGAAAGAGAAAGGGAGAGAGAGAGAAAGAAAGAGAAAGGGAGAGAGAAAGAAAGAAAGAGAAAGGGAGAGAGAAAGAGAGAGAGGAAAGAAAGAAAGAAAGAAAGAAAGAAAAAAGAAAAACAAAAGAAAGAAAGAAGCCTGATTAAATAGATACAACACCGTATGTATTTAGTGCAACCCAATATTACACACACTTTTGTCATTCTATAACATGCAAGTCTATGCTGTAAAAGAACCATTTGTGGAAAAGGACCACAGAACATGAAAGTTGGAACCAAGAAGGAGGAGCAAACAAATATTGTGCTGAGATTTCAGATCTGAGTGTAGTCAGGCACAGCAGGGGAAAACAAGCCACCTGCAGAACCAACTTGTGGATGGCACAGTTCCTGAGACACGTGGGAACTGCAGGAAGCAGAGAATGCTTGGACACATTTTTAGCAGCTTAGCTGTTTGTTACAGGTCTGATGCTAAAATTCTGGGCTAAAAATAGCTTGCAGAGGAACTTTGTGGCAAGTCAATAATAGCCTGATACCCTCTGCAGAGAATTCTGTCCAGCCTACTTCTCTCTGAGAATTTTGCATGAAAAGCAGGGCATGGCAAAATAAAATCCTGTTCAGATATGTAAAACTGGGGTGATTTAATAATTTTCTTTAATTCTTAATACTAAAAAAAAAAAATAAAAAAAAAAATATTCTGTGAAGAAGCATCAGAGTCAAATTGGAAGAAAATAATTACATACATGTTTAAAGAAGAGCAATTTGGGATGTGACAATGTTCAAATGTAGTCTGCTGAACCAAATCATACTGCTGGACCTAGTTCTGAAATCTCTCTCTCTTACTTTCCACATAAATTAACTAAAGCATAATGTTTAGAATGGGAAAGAGTAGAGTAGTGTAGAGTAGAATAGAATAGTAAAATCCGTGCAATCTATTCATGTGTGATGGAGTGCTTGGTTCTACTCTGCCTTTTTCTCACAACCCAAATATTTTTTGTTTATTAGACAACCTGCAGCAATGCACTACACTTTTCTTAATGTATTGGAGTGTATGGCTGGAGTAAACCTTTCTGTCAGCTTGGAAAACCAATTTTACAAGAACCTGAAGTATTTTACCAGAGAATCAGGACTTTGCAGTTATAATATTTCAAGTAATTTTCATAGCCTGTGATAACAGCTGACAAGTAACTTGATAGTTTGCCAGGGCAGCACAGTTAGATTTTTGAGGAGAGCTTCGAAATACTCATTAGGGCTGTGTATCTGTGAATGATGTATGAAGTTAATAACAAATTCAAGGTTAAGAACAGCGCAACTTCTCAGAAGGGGACAGGAATCCCTCTGGTTGGATGTACTAGGAGCAAATATTCTGATTTAACTGGGTTTTTTCTTTAGAAAAATAGACAGAGTGCTGAATAACACCGACTTTGTGAGGACAAATAAAGTGGCCTTTGGAGAGGGAGAATTCCCTTTCTTGCAGGGTCAGAGCCTGCCTTGCTGTTCCCTACCAAGGGGGAGGAGGAGCTGCCACATTTTCTCATGTGGTCTTCAGTTTTTAACTGCTGATGGGGAGTGTTTCTCTGTCCACTGCATCTGCTGCATGACCTCACTCACCCACACCCCAAATGCACAGAGTCAGGTGGATCTTCTGGCTTTCATCCCTTCCCACTTCTCCCCACAGTAGCTTCAAACAGCCGGGAAATACTCAGGGCCTGCAAGTGTTGATGAGTCGTGTCCCCTCCACTTGTGCAGGTGCCAGCCAGCAGAAATCTGCTCTGTCCATGTTCATAACAGCACATGGGTACCTCCAATTTACCGGACAATTTACTTTGCTTAACGTGATGGCGCTGTCCCTCCTCAACCCCTTTGAACAATTCACAAATCAACCAAAAAAAAATGAAGTTTAGAAGACTTGAAGGTCCATAAAGGAACATAAAGTATTAAATTTCATGACTGTGATAATATCTTGAACTTCATACATTTGGGAATTGGTGGCATATGGGAGAGGTATTACACTAACTGAAGTCTTGGGTTTATATTGTGATAAAGTTTTCTTGGTTTTTTTTTTTTTTCCCCCAAATACAAATTCTTCAATAATTCTTTTTTTCCCAAGGAGAAAACATAATCTGAAGACAATATAACAGGTCTGCCTTTCTCTCATTATCAATGGTGATATGAAACAACTGGACTGAAAGTAACTGAGCTGTACAGTTATTTCTGTAGTTACTGGAATCATTGTGATGCTATTGACTTTAAGAGAACACATTCACACCCAAGGGGAAAATTTAGCACAGATTTAATTAGAGCACTGTTTTGAGGTCAGAATTTGGTTTGAGGATAAACTTGGATTAAGGTACCTGATATATTTTCCAAATAAATGTAGAGTGATATACATTGCAAAAGAAGGGGGATTTTTTTTGTTAATTGTGAAGAATTAAATCTAAACTATAAATGACTTTTTTATTAATGTCTACTTTAAAAATAGTTGTTCTAAAACACCTACTGCATAAAAATAAAAGAACAATATTTTGTCACTGGATTTCTGTAGGCAGCACAATATACTCCAGCAACTGTAAATTAGCATGCACTGCTTTGTCACATTCATAATATATGAAAATGTCGTTTCACAGGGACAGGCAAAGATGATGAAGGATGGAAAGGTTTTTAGAGTTATTCAGGAGAACTGCTGGGATCCAGAAGTACGGATTAAAGAGATGGACCTGTCAGGTACCTTCCTCCATGAAGGAATTGAAATCATTGTGTCTCGTTTGAAATAACTGCAGCTTCTCTGTCACTTCATCTGAAAGTGCTCAATAACAATGGGAAAATTAACAGGTTTAGCATGTTGATTGGTTAGTCTAAATCTGTTGAAGGTCAGTGAAAACTGCTGTGCTTACTGAGATGGGACATGTTCCTCATGTTCCTCATTTTCAGTAGCAATTTATTCCCCACAGGAACTCTTTTATTTTGATGGGATTTTAAGTCAGTAAGGAGCTAATTGACATGAGTAAGGATGACTGATCGTGGACTTAAAAAGGCACCACACATTCCAGATATAGAAGTAATTCACATAAAGGAGGAAGCCCTTTCATTTTTGTTCCAAATGTTCAAAATATTCTTTTTACTTATAGGATTTCTTGTATGTTTGTTTCCAAACTTGGTTTTCATCAAGTTGCATACATGACACTAAATAAAGTGTGTAAGATGTGAGACTGAGGAGGAGGGAAGGAACTTAGAGTCTGATCAGTTATTTTGGCTGATTCCTATTAACACTGCAACTCCAAATTCCTTCTGTGACAGAAATATGTTACTAAAGTTTATTTTTTCCTAAGATTGGGACCTGAATAATTACTACATCAGTTTCCCTGTAGACACAACCTGAATATCTTCTTCAACTTTTTGATCTTAGAGGTCTTTTCCAACCTAAATGATTCTGTGATTCTGTGTTAGGAGATGCTTTGGGTCATTCTCCTGGTGGAGGTTTCCTGCAACACATAACACAGGCCAGTTTGGGAACTCAGTGGCTGTGAGGCACTTTAAGTAAACATAATTTAGATCATTTTTCAATTACTTCATTTTCACCCTGGAAAAGTATTTCGAACTCCAACCATCAGGCATTTAATGGGAATGCCCAAACGTCTTTGCAGGCTCTGCAATATCTGCAGGCTCTGCTGCTTTATCCCTGAATCATAGAATCATGCCTTGGCTGGACTGTAATCTTTCTCTCAGCTAGCTCAGGGATTTGGGGAATTACCAAGTCACTCAACTACAGTGTGGATCACAAATAGCCTTTGGGTTTCTTTCCCTTTCAGATGTTTCCCTCAACACTAAAGGCTGGTTTCTACAAAACAGTCCTGCCCCATTTTTTGCTGCAGGCAAAGGGAAAACACAAGAGCAATTTTTTTTTTTTCAAATATCTTCAACAGCTCTCCAGAATAGAAAATATGTGATAAAACCAACACCCCAATATTTCTCCTCAAACTGAACAATGCTTGCTTGGTTAAAAAAAAAAAAAAAAAAATCTAAACCTGTGTGTTACAGCACCATCTGGTGACTTGTGCCCTAAAAACTTCCCCTTTATTACAACACTCCAGAGATACAGGCATCGACCAATTCAGAGGGACAAAAAAAAAAGGCCTTGGTGTTCTTCATTCTCACTGCTTAACTAATGATAAAAACTATGGACCACATTTACTCCTTTTTGGTTTAGAAAGTTGTAGCTACACAGTTTAAAGAGCATTTTCTGAAACACAGGCTGAGATAGAGTATACCCAAAAATTTAACCTCCAAACATGGCATAATTTTGGGACAAAGATGCAAGGAGTCTCCCAGCTGAACAAAACTAGAATCAGTGACTGATAGTATTATTAACTCAGAGAAATAACTTTTTGCTTGGTTGCTAAAAGGCTTTCTTTGTGCATTGCTCAAGAAATCTTGCCAGTAATAAGAAATGGTTTCCAATGGACCAAAGAGACTCAGTTAGTTCTCATAATGACATGTCCTGGGTCTAATTGGTGTGCACACCTCTATCTTGGTCCACTCAATAAAACAAGCTATCCAGGTAATTCAATAAAACGAGCTGTAAAGATAATTAACATCACAGTTCTGCAACACAAATCATCACAGTTTTGTTGGAGAAAATATATCAGATTATCCTAACTGCCTTTTCTTGTTATCTTCTCCTTTGTAAAATCCTCTGAAGAGGGTATAAAGCAGAGGTTTTTCTGTGTTGATTCTAATTTTTCCCAAAGCCACTATCTAGGAATATTCAGCTTAGAACTCTGCCTTTAGGGTTTATGCTAAATTTGCTCAGAAGTGTAAAAAAGGATTGAAACCAGATACAGCATTCATTGTGGAAAACATGGTGGATGTTCTCAAACATACCAACCAAGTGTTCATTCTGGTGGATAACCCAATTTAGGCTATACTGTGGTAAATATGTAGTTTTGCAGACCTAGTTCTTAACCCAAACCATTACTGCTGTCATTGTCTCAGAGGAAAGTGCAGAAATATTACAATCAGACTTGAAATATGTTAAAATGTAAATATTTAGTGAAGTCCTAATTGTTAGCCATTGCTTCTTTGGTTGTTTGTCTGCTAGAGTTGTTGCTTTCATTCCTGCCATCTGTCACACACAAAGTTATGGTGTAGATTTGTGTTTGAACAGGAACAAAACGACATGGACTTAATTCTCTTCATTACAAACATCAAAGTTATTTCTGAAAACAGGCAGATCTTCTTATACTTACAACCTCAGTACCCAGAATGAATGAACCCTAACACAATATAGCTTTGGGGAACACTTGGATAAACATTGCTTACCAACCATTGTTGACATAATGTTTTTAATCTTTGAGCAAATTCACTTATATATTTATTAAATATATATGACAAATGTGACCCCAAAGTAAACTTAACTTATGGCATTCTATTGGTTTAATGTCACATTCATTTATGTGAGAGTAACACTGAATTGCTGTTTTAATTGATTGTACATGTGCCTACTAAATACTTCTAAAATCAAAATACTCAGTTTCACAAATAATCCAGTATGAGTAGGAAAGTGTTCTTTTTCTTTCTTAATATGTTCAAATCTTAATAAACTGATACAAGATTTATTACCATGACCCATAATTTTAAAAAAAATCTGTGTCACTTAAATCAGTGTTTCTTATCATTAAAACTTTTACCTTCTGCCTCTCAAACCAAAATAATTTCTTATTTTTGTCACAAACAAACAAATAAAAAGGAGGAAACATTAATAACTGCTTTTTTCTTATTCAGGAGTCACAGTCCAAGCCCTTTCCACAGTCCCTGTTATGTTCAGCTACTGGGTAAGTTCCTACCATATTTTGTATCTCGTGTGTAGCAAAACTTTTAAAATGTAAATGCATCTTTCTGTAAATGAGGTGACCGAAGAAGTCACTGGATCACTGAAGTCATCAGGGAATTGTTCTGCTGTGAGCAGTGCAGGTCTCAGAAGAGCCAGCAGGGTGTCCTGGCAGAGCTCCACCCCAGAGCACACCCGGCGGGAAAGGAGGAGGCAACAGTGGGATCTCTTCTTTATGGGGGCAGCTGGCAATGGGGAGAAAGAATTTACACTACATGAATCCATGCTTAGCAGGTGGACATATATGTACAGATTGCATGAAAGTTAGACATCAAACAGTATTTTCTCTTGGAAAAAACCCACAAATATAAAAAAGATATAATTGTGGTCCTGTCTCACTTTCTTTTAAATGTGGCACAGGGCTCAGTGACCTAGAATATTTGAATCTTAAAATTCAGTAGCAAATTCAAGTTAATATGTTCCCTGCATGGTGATCCTTAATGCTTCAAAGAAATAATAACTGGCTGAGAAGATAAATCACAGCAAAAATGCTGTTCTAAATACATTCTCAATTTGACTATTTAGTGATGAGTACAAGTCAAGATGTTATCTATAAACAGATGTGTTGCATTAAAGCCATTGTGTTAAGCCCACATAGAAGTAGTACCACCAATTTTCAGAATTTCTTGTTGAGCAACATCTCTTTAAACTTTACTCTGGTGTCTAAGGGAATATCTTCCATTAAATACTTATTGGGGGGGAAAATAGAGATTGACTGGATGGATATTGCACTTCCCTTATTGGAATTATGACCGTTATCTCCTTCCAAATGTTAGAGAAGTTTGCTCAAGTTTCCTCTGTAGAATTCTCATGCTGCAGCATCTCACATTTCTTATTTTTATTTCTTCAGCTCCAGTAATAGGAGAGTAAATATTCATTGCTACGTTTAAAAATTATATACTGAGATTTTTGCATTGGGATAAACAGGAGCAGGGGACTGGTTTACACAAAAGAACAGATACTTAAATGCATCAGCAACCTGGGCTTTATTACACTCCTCCTGAGCAGCAAAGGCAGCAGCAGTTGATAAAATATTCAAGACAAGAAGCAGAACTGCACCCAGAGGTTTTAAAGTGAGGCAGAATTTAGTCTGCAGGTTTCGAGCTGTTCAGAACTGTAAAGCGAATTTAGGCTCAAGCCCTGTCTCTCAGTTGTTTGCAGTGACATTTATCCAATATCTTCCAAAGGTGATAACATTTGAGAACTATATTTTAATGTACTGCTCTGCTTAATATCTTCCCAGGCCAAACCTCAGGACACTTTAGACCTAGCCCAGATGTTAAACAATGACTTGGCTGCTACAGTGAAGAAGTACCCCAAGAGGTTCGTGGGCCTGGGCACGTTACCCCTGCAAGCCCCCGAGCTGGCTGTGAAGGAAATGCATCGCTGTGTGAGGGAACTGGGATTTCCTGGAGTGCAGATAGGATCTCATGTCAACCAGTGGGACCTGAACGCCCCAGAGCTGTACGATGTTTATGCTGTGAGTAACCCTTTCTTCCCTTCTTTGGGGGGGAATTCTGTCTAAAAATATCTTGGAGCACATTCAGTCGTGGTTTGAGCCTTCTAATCTGCTTAGGTTAGAGAGATACTCAGCTTTAATTGTATATGGTCATTCATTATGGGATATAATTACGGTAATACAACATGAAACATTTTATAATAATGAGTAACAATTATTTTTATTATATGAGTTCTCACTGTAGAGTTGCCTTCTTGGTTTGGGAGGATAAGTGCAGTATTAAATAAAGCATTTCTTCCCTGTTTGCATTTGGGTTCAAGTTACTGTATCCAATCCTATGGAAATAATTGATAAACCCCCTGAGATCATCAGAGATACCTATAGAGCCAAAATACCACGTGGAATTATGTAAATAGGACCAAAGGTTCCAAACAATGCATTGATTATAAAACGAATTTTTAGATTGAATTTCTTAAATAGCCTGAGGTCCAGATGAGGATGGTCATTTGTCTAAATTACAGACTTAATCAATATACATTCTGCATCTGTTTCACAAGTTATTAGAGCTGTCTGCTGAACACTGAGCCACAGAGGTTATATTTCAGATTGCTCAATTTATC